ACACCAGTATCATCACTAATTTTTACCATAAATTCAATTTCAAATGGAATGATCTTGAATACTGTAAATGATCCTTTTACAACAGTTATGAAATTCACTCAAGTGTGTATTCTTTGACTAATCAGCAATATTTACTTCTTAATCATGTTGTACTAAATAATTTTAATACTTTTCATTTTTAGGAAGAAGTAAACAACGGAAAATTGATTTACCGAGATGAGTTTTCAGCTGATACCAAACAAAATCGAAATAGTGTTGTGGAACTTGGTGTGTTTGATGGAAAACATTCTATTGATCTCAAACTTCAAGTTGAATCTTCCCCACCATTTGTAAAAGTATTAAATAATTCCCAGTTAATGTTGCGACAAGGAGGATCTGCTACTATCACCACTAATCACATTTATGCTGATACAAATTTAAACATACATTCTGATAAAATTAAGTAAGTGTATAATATAAATTTTCCATGTATTTTTGTGTTTATTTTCCATTGTTTTATTTTAGTTATCAAGTAATAAATGGTCCTGGCCAAGGAGAAATTGAGCTTGGTTCTAACCTTGAGCCTTTGAAAACTACTATATTTAGTCAGGCAGAACTTGAAGCGGGTCATGTACGTTACCGACATAATGGTGATGTAGAAAGTGTTCGAGATAGAGTAACCATCCGTGTATCCGCTGGTAGTACTGTATCTAGAGAATTAGAGTTTGATATAAGGCTTTTACCACAACACTATTGGGAACCACTTGAAGTCACTAAGAACTCTCCAATAATAGTTGATGAGTCTACTACTATTGCAGTTACCAGACAATATCTTGAAGTACAAAAAATAATACTATTATTTTTCTATGTTTTAGATTTTTAATTATAATTAATTGTAGGTAAAACAAAACATGGTACCACCTTCAGATATTATGTACTTGGTAAAAGAACCTCCACGATATGGTTATTTAGAAAAAGAACCCAACGAAGAAGACCCTGGAAGTCCAGAAAACAATCATTTAACCACTTTCAATCAAAGTCTTATAAATAGTGGCCACCTTTACTATGTTCAATCAACCATGAATCAGAGTACTGATCGATTGGTCGTTGATATTACTAATGGAGTTGTTTCATTATATGGTCTAGTTGTAAGTAATATCTACTTTATAATGTTTACTTCATAATACAAATAAAAATTATTTTTAACAGATAAGCTTTGTAATTGTGCCAAAAAATGTATATTTAACAAGCTCCCAGCTTAATGTTATTGAAGGAGGAAATGTGACTTTGAGTGCCGATACATTTCCAGTTATGAGTTCATATTATACTGACAGAGTATCTCGATATTCATTGGTTAGTGCTCCAAACCATGGTCGTATTGTACGCACTACTGCTGATACTTTTGATCCAACTATAGATTATTGGAGTCCCAAACAACTAGCACGATCACAAATAATGGTTGGTTAAAATTATACTCATCCAAAGTCTGTATTAACTTGTTTTATTTTCCTTATATTTCAGTATGTTCACGATGGGTCTGAGAGTACTGACGATAGTTTTTCAGTTAAAGTAGGCGTGTCTGATGAAAAAGAAAGTGCTCCAGTTGATATTGAGGTTAAAATTAATCCAGTAAACAATCAAAGACCATTGATTATAAGAAATACTGGAATTAAAGTTTGGAAAGGTGGAATTGGACTTATAACTTCAGATAACTTAAGTATGTCAACAAAAATTCCAATTAAAATCATTTTTTTACAAAAAAAATTGCGTTATTTCAGCTGTTGAAGACAAAGACACAGATGTTTCCAACTTGACTTTTGTAGTGACGTCGTCTAGATGTGGTCATGTGATTTTAGATTTGCAACGTGCTGAGAGATTTACTCAAGCACAAATTGATCAGGGTATTGTCTTTTTTCAACACTCTGGAGAATATTGTGATGGCGAATTGGAACTATCAGCCCATGATGGTCTTCATTCTACGGGAATTACACAATTTAAAATAACAACAGAACAAGCCTCTKTGAAAATTTTAGTCAATAATCCACTGCGAGTATTTCCAATGCTAGGTCGTCAATTGACTATTGACCATTTAATGGCTCAATGTGATGATCCAAATTATCAAGTTACTTATATTGTAAGAAATGCACCAAAATATGGCATTGTGTCTAAGAGTGCTTCATATGAAGATTCTAATCAAATGGCTATTACAAATTTTACACAAAAAAACATAAATGAATCAGCTGTGTGGTATCATCATATTTCAAAATATTTTTCCAGTAACACCACTAATGACTTTTTTACATTTGATGCCATTTGTGAATATGCAACYCCAATTACAAATCAAGTAAGTCAAATTAAATGATTATAAACAACTGCCTATATTTTATAAATAATTAAATTCATATAATATTTTTATATTTTTCTAGACTTTCAATCTAGAAATTACTGTATCATCTGGTGGTCTTGAAGAGCTTTTAATTGGTGATAAAACTAAAGAACTTGTGGTTAAAGAAGGGGAATCAACAATTATTGACTTAAATACTACTGCTATTTTAACATTCTTAGTGAATAGCATTGGCATTAGATCGCCAACTATCAAAATTGAACTTACAAATGAACCTAAGCATGGCCATGTGTGCCTTGATGATGATTGTGACCGACGAACATTTTCTCAAGGTCATATGCGACGTAATCAAGTTAGATATGTACATGATCATTCAGATACCTTGTCTGATAGCTTAGAATTTTCGGTTTACTTGGACATTGATCCTACAGCTGTTCCATTATGTAATGTCACCATTCCAGTAAGCATCACACCTGTAAATGACCAACCATTCTTTTTAACTCAATCATATCCAAATTTGAGACTTGTTCAAGGACAATCTGTAACATTGACTCGATCAGAACTATTAACTGAAGATCCAGATACCCCACCTGAACAAATTGTTTATGATATTGTAACTGGACCCGCCTATGGAACTATCTGTTTGGCTGGTATTAAGAATTCTGTTAGATTTACTCAAGCTGATATTGATGCCGGTGAAGTAGTTTACAAACACGATGGTCAGTTGAAACCTACCACATTTTATTTTCGTGTTTGGGATGGTCAGTTTAATCCAGTCTATAAGGTCTTTCAAATTTATGTCATACCTGTTACTCTAAATGTAACTGTATCGCTACCTTTGCCATTACTTCAAGGAACATATGAAACTGTAGTGAATGAAAAACTGTTCCAAGTGGAGACGAATGGAGACAAAGATTCAGTTGCTTACAATATCTCAATGAATCCTAGGCACGGTGTCGTTTATGTAAATGGCACAAAATCAAAATTATTTTCTCACAAAGATTTAAAAGATGGTAGAGTAATTTATAGACAGACTGACCTGACTTCTGCAGCAGACGCATTAAGATTATCTGCTCAAATGCATTGTGAACAATCTCCTATAATTAGAGATTTGTGGTTAAATGTCAGTGTAGAACCTTTGGTAAAAACCGGGGCGTTTTACCCTTTAACAGGATTGAAATCACAACTTGGTGTCCAAGTTTTGAATGCTGAAATGTTAGCAAAAACCACAAGTTCTGATCCAAAGTATAAAATTTTAAGAAAACCAAAGTTTGGAAAATTGAAAAAAATTGTTAGAAGRTCTGGAGACAAACAAGTAATTCGTGAAGTCGATGTTACTAAATTTTCTCATGGAGAAATAGCTAGTGGAATAGTATATTTTGTGGCAAAAAAAGTATTGGAACCAGTTGAAGACAGTTTTCCATTTTTATTAACAGCAAATGGTGTGCAACCAGCAATTGGTGAATTGCGATTTCACGTATCTGTTGCTGAACCTCCTTCCACCACAACGCCTCATTTACTTACTACCACATTTAAGTACTCTTCAACATCTGTTAGCAAAAAATCAGATATTGTAGAAATAGCAAGACCAAATATGAGTGATGACTATTTGTTATGCGTTGGGTTCATTATGGCTGTGGTGGTAGCATCCCTTGTCATTGTAGTTCTTATTCGGTGTCGATCCAAGAAACGTGCAGAAGAGTTGGATAAAATGAATCCCATGCCATTACCTTGCCCGCCTGATGATTTGATGACCACTTCTCCTAGGATAGACAAGAATGAAAATCATGGATGTAAAGTAATAGCTTTGGGTCCACCAGAACATATTGAACCAGAGACTGATTTTAATATGAGGTATCCATATGGTGCTGCTGACGAAGAATACAGTAGCAGTGCTGATGGTACTGAACAAAATAATCCAATGCTTAGAAGAAATCAGTATTGGGTTTAATATAAGTAGTCAATAGTGGCTAACTATTATTTATTAAGTTAAATAAATTAAAATATAATAATACATTTTTTAAACTATTATTATTATTAACTTGTATAATTATAAAATTAAATTAATTGTATGTTTAATTTATTTATTTTCTTTTTCCATCTTGATTAGAGTATTGAAAAATCTAGTCTATAACTTTTATAAATAATAACCCCACATTACCCTAAGTTGTATCACAAATTAATCTTAACAAAACATTTTACTCCCAGCTAACTATTTTAATTTTAAGTGACAAACATTTTAAGGGCATGTAACACATTAAATTAAGCTTATGATAATAATTTATGTGTTAAATACAATAATAAGTGCGGTAAGGTGTGGAATGAACTAAAAGAACATGAAATGTTTTGGATTTAATGATATTAATACCTGTACTCAATAGTCAAACTTTTAAATTATATAATTAATATTGCTGAATATTAATATAATACTATTAACATTATTTCAACTACTGAAACATCTCATGTAATACATGCAACAAATAATTACTTTMAAATTTTATTTTGAATATCTCTTTAACACTGTCACATAATTGACTGATTATTTTAATAAAATAATTAGTAATTAGTTGTTTGATTAGACTAGAAAAGACAAAAATGTTTTAGTATTAATTGATTTATTGTACTCAAAAAATGGCAAAAAGTGATTAAATCTTTAAAAAATATGTTTCAATTTATGTAATACATAATGATTAGTTTTTACATTTGTGTTTCTTAAGTTGTTTGTATCCAGTCCCTGAATTTGTATTTGATGAAATTTACAAATGAAAAATATTTTTACTTTGAGAATTTATCATACCATATGTTGTTTGTTTGTTCCTTTAATTGTAAAACACATCACTACAGCCCAAGAAATTGTGTAAATTTAGGTTATCTAAATTATAGTTGTACACTTGAACAAGTGTATCAATTACCTACCATAAAACAATATTATAAACGTTTTAAAATATTTATTAAGTCTTGAGCGCATGTCCCAAAATGTAATTATTATACTATAGTTTATCAATATTTATGTCTCAAAGCTCAATTGATTATGTCTTAGTTTTCTTATTGTACATACTATTTTTAGACTAATAAAATCAAAAGTATTAAACGTAAACATTTCGAGTGATTTTTAATTGTCATTAATGTGTGGCGTTTGCTTACACTCTGATGTGAAAAGTGCCCAAAAAATCCGGTGCCCTGAGWATAACGTGTTCGAACTCCATGAAAGACAATTTTCCGTCGCCGTCTACATCTGCCTCTTCAATGACTTTTTCGCACACCTGAACGATCTCCTCTGCCGATAATTGACTGCGCGTCAACAGCTTAAGCACTTGTTCGAGGTCGGCCGGTCCGATGTGATGATCGTCGTCGAAATCTACAGCCGCCCACGGACACCGTTAAAAATAACATTTTGTGATACGAAAATTTTTGAATCATTTATMCAAATTAGAATAAAGTATAGGTGTTAGATRTATAACAATTGAATTATTGGCAAAGGTGCAAAACKACTTTAACGATAGCGCGTAGTCAATGCACCAGATGTTGAAATGTAGGAGGGAGYCATATTTTTAATATTAACCGTTTTCTTAAATCTTGTACATTGTAACACACCTCACATGTTWGAAACCTAAACTAACTTTAATATCGTGCAATTTCGAGGATTTGTGAATAATAAATAAATTATAGCATTTTTACAAAACTGATCATATTTAGAATTTTCTTTTTTTTTATGATAACATATTATTACGATATATTGATTTCATTATTTTTCAATCTTCAACATTAATTTYCAAAGATGTTTATGTATTATGTTTAAACATTGAAAGTTGAAAGTTTGTATTATGCGGATTAGCAGAATTATAGTGCAGTGGCGCARTAACTATTTTTCATGAGTGGGGACAAAACTTAATATTATTAAGTACGCACATTTATGAAAATGAAACCAATTTTGAATACGTAAACGCTTAAATTAAACGTAGGTAATTTACGATCGTATACCCTTTAATTTAAATAAAGTAGAGGGGGACAAAGTTATTCTTTTGACTCCCTTGGATTATATCTGAGGGGTCGATTGCCCTGACGACTCCACTGGAATAGTGTACTAAGTGTCTAAATATGTATAGTTTATTAGTATATAGTTTTTCCACCACTTCACGTAGATTTTATATAGTCTATACTACTGAGTACAGAGTATAATACTTGTATTTAAAAAGCAATCCTTAATATTTTGTCAAAAATTTAAAAAGTAGTAGAAATACTAAACTTAAGTCTATCGTCTTTCTAGTGTCTATACCTACCGATTACAATTACTAATTTGTAAATCACTTAATACAAATATTATTAGTTGCCAACTAACCGTAAATCTTAAAGGCGTAGTACACTTTGATTTGCCTAGGAGCCTGTTCGCTGAACACAGACAACAAGTCTAAAAAATCTTCAAAACTCAACGACCCATTACCTTCTTTCGAGAATACTTGGCATATACGTTCTTTAAATGGGTTCTCCTGCAACAAAAATTAATTGTATTATGTAATATAATTAGCGGATAAATGACTTGAATACCACATTTCGTCCTATTGAGAGGGAGGGATACTATAGTTTATATAGTATAGAGTCAGATTTTATACATATTTAACAGATTAACAAAAAAAGTTAATAACTTTACGCGTTTTGTTGTGAATAGTATAAGTTGTTAAAAGAATTTGAAAACGCTTTAATCATAACGTTTTCATATTTTTATAACTAGACAAATAAGGAAATAATATTAACAATGTTGAATGTTGAACATTTATCAAATAAAATATTTAATCGTCTACCTAATTAATTATATCGTAACATTACCGTTGATAAACTTTACTTAGTCTAATGATCGTTTCCAAACTTGTTTTTAAACATAACTAGTTGGTAATAAGTACCTTTTTATGTTTAATCTGTGGTGTTAATTTATAGACATTTTTGTGACATTTTATTGATAATATTTAGGACCATCACACTATTCATACTAAGTACTATACTATACATTTATACTATCATTGGCTGATGGGCGTGACTATGCAGATGTGGGGGGAGCCAAGTATGCATCGCTTATTCGCGTATACGTTAAAAATACCTATACAAAATATGAGTATACAGATAAAGATCACTTTTTTTTTTAAGGGGAACCCGCGGCCACATAGGCCATTGGGTGTGGAGTGGTACGGTAAGGGTTATTTTTTTGTAGGTTTTTAAGTGGGTAGGGTTGTAACACGTGTTTGTGTATGTGTGGCTAGGATATGTTGCTAAAAATCCCGGGTGGTCACCCATCCGGGAGCTAGCAACTGCGGCCGGTACGTACGCTCAGTGCGTTTCCGCAGGTTGAGCGTACGAGTGCGCCTCACCAAGCCACTGAGCACTTTTTTGTTACACTAGATACAGTCTGTCGAAATTTGAGTACCTAACCTTTTGGTTATTGATGCATGATAAAGATTTGATCTCGATCAAGTACAGAAATAACGACATTATACTATAGCGCTGGGAATTGTATATATACCTACTCTAACCCTATATACGCATCCATTATACCTTAAACATTTTCAATAGAGCACTTTTAAAATGTAATACATTTTAAATATTTAATAATAGTTGTATTATAATTTAATATTAGCAATGTGAAAATAACGTTAAAGAGTTCGTATTTTTCCATCACATATATACCTAGTTAATAATATAATATCATACAAGTAGATATAGATGAATTTCACTGCGACAAAAAATTMAATAGCTACGTAATTAATCTAAACATAAATATATATATATATATCTTAAAGTACCTTAAGTTCTGGCAGCTGTTCGATTCGTTCTTGTGGCACACGGATTTTCACCGGTTCGTCACCGGTCATTTTCTTGGGCACCACTTCGGGACAAATCGCTCTGTACCTTTTATATACTCTTCAAAAACAAAACGAAACCGAATGTTATTTAGCATAGTTAAAAMCAAGAATACTTTTTTTTTTATATATTTGCAGTGCGTTCGTAATTACAATTTAAGTACAAGCTTACAAAATTGCTGCAGTACTGAAGCGTGCGTGGMAATATACCTTTTATATTTTATTTAAATACCTATCAGCGCGTATATATCAATTTATTTAACATGACGTATTAATTAGACTCTAATTATTAGAGCAGTTTTACAGCAACGAAATTTAATTCTAAATTACAGCCGGGGGCTGCACATTTTTAAGCAGTTCCGTGTAACCAAAAACTATAAAAAAATAAATTGATAAATAATTATTTTAGTTAGTCGGTTGTAATTTAAAAATATTATYCGTGGMTATTTGAAACTTTAAGCATATTATTATATTTTATATACAAAATTGCATTTTTAAAATAAAAACTCTTTGCAATAAGTATAATAACTTGAATAGCAATAATGCATCATAAAATATATTTAAGTTTAGAGTATATACTAAACAGTAAACACTAAAGTAAGTAATATAGATTGGCAGCATAGGTACAAATTGCTGGGTACTAAGGGRACTTAGCCCCCCAATTTATTAATATCCCACAAACTATTTAAAACTCAATGTATAAATAGTCAGGGCTTAAGCCCCCCCCCCAAATTGAACAAATTTTATGTATGGCAATGGCTATACAATGATTTTTTATTCAGGATTCAGATTTAACACATCCATTATAGTATTGCAGTGATCCGGAAGACACGTAATTTACAATACAGCGGTACGTCAGTCCCTGCGTAGTCTTGTCAACATTTTTAAATACTTTAGGTAGCTGATTTACTATACCTATGTACTATATTGTATCATGTTAAACAGTACTACGAATCCNCCCCCCCCCAAATTGAACAAATTTTATGTCTGGCAATGGCTATACAATGATTTTTTATTCAGGATTCAGATTTAACACATCCATTATAGTATTGCAGTGATCCGGAAGACACGTAATGTACAATACAGCAGTACGTCAGTCCCTGCGTAGTCTTGTCAACATTTTTAAATACTTTAGGTAGTTGATTTACTATACCTATGTACTATATTGTATCATGTTAAACAGTACTACGAATCCAACTCTAATAATATTATTTGACATGCTAACGTGTCATTCTTTTCCATAAACCTACCACCAATGACAACATGTTCATAGTTAATTTTGTCAGTCTTTGTTGTATGAATCTTGTACAGATTTTAAATTACCTTAAGAATATTTGTGTTGACGCCAACATCAAATTACTCAACAGAAAGAGCTATTTGAAGAAACAACACTCAAAACTTCTTTATGCCGTTGATTGTAATTTGTAAGTATCTAAATTTTAATGTTTATTATTTCTATTGCGGCCTTACTGGTCACGGCTTACCAGTATGTATGGAATTGTTTTAGAAAATTAACAGTGTGTTATTCTATAATATTATTTATTAAAGKAATCGCTGATCTGTATCGTTTCGAAAAGGATTWTTTTTGTTAATGGGTGGGTGCGTGTTAACCCAAAATGAAATCGTCATAACCATAAGTGTTTCAAAATACATTGGCACCCCTACCTTTACTATTTTATTGTACCTTACTACTATTTTATTTTGTATGATAAATTGATAACTATACATATCGTTCTGGTAACATTCTGGGCGGAAATAAGTATAATCAATTATTCCTTATTCGGATCACATTTTTTTTCTCTAGCCGTTATGTTCGACGTCCATTCTGTATCTTCCCCTCTAATGTTMAACTGTTCAAACATTTGATGAAATATTGATAATGATTTAATAACTACGGTGTGGTTTGAGTTGGGTATAATATAGTATATTTTAAATGTAATATACTAATATGTGTAACTAATGCAGAGGAAGACACACCTGCGTGT